TCTCAGAAGGAAAAGAGTTTGCGAGGAAACAGCCCGAGCCCCCGTGCCTCACCAGCCCCCACCCGCCAGGCAGGGCCCCCGCTCCGAGGGCCGCGGTGCACTTTGTCAGGGCTGCTCTTCTGCTCCAGGCACTCCCACGGCTGGTTGCTCTGCTGAGGTTGAAGGCGGCTGGCACAAGAAAGCCCACAGGGGCTTTCTGAGATGTGTGCTTGCACTATCAGTGTGGAGGACAAATTTCCACATTGGTTCAGATATTTGACCAAGGAGGGAGGTCTGAAGCAGTTTCATTTCCTTACAGCATTTTCCCCTATTGCACAAAACCAGCCATCCAGTTCCGTGGCTCATTGCCACCCTTTTTAGCTGGTTCCCCACACTCTCACTGCCCTGTTCACCAACAGCCTGGCCCAAGGTCTCCTGGGCATGCAGCTGGCTGGTCCCGAGGGCTGGGGTGCCTCTGAGCCGTGAGAAAGGCATCTTTTCTCTCAAAGATGCATGCTGAGGAAGCCTGAGATAAGGCATCTCCCTGTTCATCTCAAGCAAGGGGAGGCTGCTCCAGTGCACCAGCACAGGGACAGCAGCCGGCCCCAGGCACCTTCCCACGCTGCCCATGGCCGGGGAGGGCCAGCAAGAGACGCAGCTGTGGGGAGCAGGTGGAGAAGCTTTTAAAAACAGAAACTGCACTGTTACAATTTCAGTAGAAATCCAGCGTATTCAGGGGCTGTTTTTTTGAAGAAGCAAGAACAGAGGAATTGCCCCCCGGTTGGTTTTTGTTGCTCTTTCTGTCACCGCTGGAAGGTGGGCATGAGGCAGCGTGGGGAAGCAGCGCAGGGAGCACACAGGCTCCAGCCCCAGCCCAGAGCTGCCTTCGCCCCCGGCCACATGCCCAGTCCCAGGCCGAGGACAGCGAGGCGTGGGGAAGGAAATGCAAACCAAAGCCTGCATGGAGGGAAACAAAACCAGAACCCAAGGAAAGCCCCTGATGCCCCACAGATGTGGGGAGGACTTTTGCAGGAAAAACTTTGGGACTATCCCAGGGAAAGCTGCGATGACCAAGGGCTACGAGGAGGCACGGAGGCTCTGAGGCACAGCAATCTCGCCCAGCGCCTGGGCTCCTCGCTCTGCACCCCCTG